CAAAAACCATTGAAATCCCTCCAACCGAACAACATATGTAGCTCCCCATAACTACATCCATAAGGACTTACCCTAGGCCCGAAGGGTATAGGTGCCAACCTAAGGGAGCACCTTGGGTCCACAATGTCTTACCCTAGCCGAAGCGTAAGTGCCCACCTGAGGGGAGTTCCCTCAAGACCATAAGGACTTATCCAATGCACACAGTAGAGGAACCACCTTAAGGGAGTTCCTTAAGGTCCATAAGGTCTTACCACTAGGCCCATTAGGCCCAAGATCCCACCTAGGAGTCGCCTTAGGTTCATAATGAATTACCAGTCGGTGCTGAACCTATAAAAGGAATTACAAGCAGTGACTAAACCTGCCAGAGATAGGAATTACTAGTCGGTAGAGAACATGTACAAGGAATTACCAACAACGACTAAACCTGCCAGAGTATTCATATAGATTCCAGAGTACCCCAAATAACACATTTTCAGTCAGTAAACAAAGATATCAAAAATTCGAGCAGAGATCAGAACAGAAATCAAAGAAAACATACATATGATCAGGGAAAACACTAGAGGTTCCAGATATTGTTCGGAGATACTGGATAATCTTATCGGGTAGAGAAACAAGGATCTTCAGTATATCGATAGAATATCGAAAGTTAGAATCATTATCGAAAGAGTTCATTAGCTGACAGGGTCATTAGTTATTCAGAATGTGATTTATCAAGATCATGTAGTATTCAAATATTTTTCGGAGGCACTATGAAATCAGAAAGGTATTCAGAATCCTTTCCATATGAGTTACTTGTTTTTTTTTCAGATATGATAGGAGTTATTCCATTATTCAGAAAATCAGAGGCATTTTGGGCATTAGGTTCTTGGAGGATTCTTAATGATTTGAGTTGATAAGGGAGAAACGAAGATTCAAGGCATTTAAGATTTGCATCGAACTATCGAAATATCGATTCAACCCAAACTATACAAGTCCCATCAATGATACCGGTCAAATCGTGCACGTCCAGAGTATTCACTTTTTTAATACGGACAATTATTGTCAAATTGATCATCTTCATAATCATCGCGGAAAGGATCTTAGGGACAGTACATCATGTAAGTTCGTCAGTGATTACAGGCTTATTCAAGTCACTTACTTAACCCTAGGTCATTGAGGGTTCTTAGGTTATATAATATAGTCATTTTGGTATTCAAGATTGATTTGTTCATTTCAGAGTTAAGGGTATTAGTTATTCTAGGGCTTGAACGTGCTTCAAATCATATTATACTTTGAGGGGATTCTAAATAAATCAAAAGTTTAATCGGTTATTCCAAGATTCCAATGGATCATGCTATAAGTTCTTAGGTTGTCTCCATTATCATAGTCATCCATATTGTTTTTACTCTTTAAGGTTATTATCATCGTTTCATCCAATTCTGTCAATGTCATTACTTCGGGTAACTTAGGCTTGATAGTATTCCAGTTCCATTAAAGTTTAGAGTACTTTGCTCATTTGCTCACTAGAGGTTAATTTAACCACTAGGGAAAATCTTGGTTCATTTTCAGTATAAGGGCATTTTTGTAATTTATCCATGGTGCTCTTTTCAGTAATTTTATATCCAAATATTTCCAACATTTAACCTTTAACGAGATTAATCAGAATTTACGCGTTCTGAGATTGATTGATTTACTGATTAAATCATTGAACTAAGGTTTATTCTCGATCATTCTACTTATTTCTTTTTCGAGTCGTCTAAGGCTTTTACATTGTTCCGTCTTTATCCAATTTTCGTCTGAGTCCAAAGATAGTTAACTACTCTATTGGACCAAATATTTCCATTCATGCATTTATCATTTATCATTGAGTCCCGAAAAGCATACATAAGGTAGTAAAGTATTAACTCGATTTTTGTGTCTTATCGATCGACCATTTAAACTCCATTCGATTACCCTCGAACTTGAATTCAACGTCCAATAATTCCTCAGATACACAACAATAGAAATTTCATCAGAAACGAAGCTTAATTGTGAAAAAACGAATCTAATCAGGTGGTTAATAAGTGAAAAACAACTTATCGGGTTTGAATTTGGCAAAACATACCTAAAAAACAGGCTCAAGACGTCGAAAAACATCAGAATAGGTGTACCCAAAAAAAAGTCAACAGCGGTCAACGGGTTGACTCTGTCAAAGTCAACGAGTTGACTCAACTGAGTTGACCTAGCCGAGTTAACTTGGTGATTGAGTCCGGTAGGCGGGTCAGGTCGGGTCAGACGAGTCGGGCCAACCAAACCCTGTTATGGAAATTTCTTTGGTCCATAACAAGACCACGCGTGGGTGGCGGTGACGGTGGCAGGCTCAGGGAGAACGATCGATTCTTCCTGTAGCATCTAATCACCAAATCAGACCAACATTCAATCTAAAAACATCAAACAACCCATCCAAAATAATCGGGGAAAAATCAATAACTTACCTACGCCAGTGGTCGACGAAAACGACGACGACAGCCTCACCCACCGGTCGGGTTTTGATCGCACGGAACTGAGGAATCTTTCTAGGGTGGCGGTGAAGCAAACGGGCTGTCGGTGTGACTGGAAATCACGAAAAATTGAACGGCGGAGTGGATTTCTATACGAGAATTTCAGCTTCGATTTACGGCGAAGGGAGGCGTTTCACGGCACGATAAGGTGCGGGATTTGGTCGCCGGCTGGTGGGTAGTCAAATGGGGGTAGCGATGCAGGTTGCTGCAGTCGGGCGGCGGGGAATCGAGCCGGCGAAGAGGTTGCTCAATTGGGGGAATTTGGGGAAAATTGGGTTTTAGGGATTTCACCGAGGGTGTTTATTTTTCTCTGTCTAGGAAAAATGGGTAAATTCAGGATTAAGTCCCTGAATTTCCCTCACTTTCTAAATTTGTCCACAAATTTCGAAAACCAATAATTTGATCCCTAAATCGGGGTATTACAGGGAGCTCTAATGGAAGCAAGGAAGTATGAAATGATAATTTCCAACAAATCGAAACGGATAAAATCTGTGGACCTGCGCATACTTACCCCGATGATGAATAAAAATTTAATTTAATCAAAAAAGTCGAAACAGAAACAAAAGCTTTCTGCCTACTTTCGGTGTGGATCTTATCCAAGTGATGAACACGTCAATTGGCACTCACATGCATGCATGCCATCTGCAGAATGAACGTGCTCGGTATCTTTCACAATCTGCAAACACTTCCAGCTCAAGTTTATTTATTTATAGCTAACTGCAAGGCCTCTCTCTTATCGTAATCTCTTTTTCTCTTTCTTTTCTCTCACTCCAAACACAAGTTAAAGAAGAGATGAGCTTGAGGAACACAAGCAGGGAACTGTTCCAAGTAAAAACCCAGGTTATGCATGGATTCAAAGACCAATCTCCCAAAACTCAATCGCTTATGAAATCGTCTTCCAGTACTGAAAAATCTGCTAAAACCATAACTCATGGCAGCAAGCTTAAAGGAGCAAAACCCGAGGAGTCCCTTAGGACTGTCATGTACTTGAGCTTGTGGGGTCCTAACTAAGTTCAATATAAATATTGCTCATCAGCTTTAGGCCTTTTAAACTCTTTACTGTTTTTTTTTTCTTTCTAGATCCGTTCCATAAGACAAATCCAAGTAATCAAGGGTTTATGCGCGCGCGCGCACACACGTGTGTGTGTGTATATATATATACCTATCTTCCTTATTGTACTTCATAGTTGCCTGCATCATTAGGTCTCTGCCTCTCTTTGACAAAGAAGTGTTAGTATGTACCAATAATGAAATCTAATATCAACATTTGTAGAAATGATGTATTTTTTATGTTGAGAGGGGTAGTTAAAATGTTGGATTAAATTGAAATTGATGATATACTTATTTATAGTATAAAAGTATACAAATTGTCCCTATAGAGTGTTGGTTCTAGAGTGTTGGTTTTATTTTATTTAGTCTCTCGACCATTAAAAGTTATAAAATGATCTTTCGATTATATGGGTCACTTTGTTGAGTCTTCCAACTATTAAAAGTTATAAAATAGTCATTTGCTTATTCCTATATTCCAAACTCATCATTTTTTGTTAAAAATTTGACGGTAATTTAAGCTAGATTTTAACATGATGATTATAATATGATAAAATTTGATCTTAAAATCTTAAACTACTATCATATCTCAATCTCATCCAACTTAGATAATCATTAAATTTTTTTATCGAAAAATGACGAGTTTAGAACATATGAGTATGTGGGAAATTATTTTATAATTTTTAATAGTAGAGGAACTCAATAAAGCAAAGTCCTAGTTAGGGATCATTTTATAACTTTTAATAATCAAAATTCAATAGAGTAACACCTTATAGTCAGAGGATCTTTTGTGTACTTTACCATATTTATAATGCTATTATAAAGATACAAATTATGACCAATTATTTATTGTATCATAAGTATTAGAAGGTCATGAAAAATAAAATATAAGTATTACAACTTGTATTTATAATATAAATTATATTTATAATTTGATGAGAATTAATTCTATATATTTAAAAAAGTAATTTAATAATAAATGTTATAAAGTGATAATGATCTTAAGAAATAGAGTAATTTATATTTTTTTTCAATTTCATTAAAGACATTTTTTTTAATACAAAGGAAGAGCAAAGCTCTTAGATAGCTCCCAAACTTAGTTTATCCATCTGCAATAAGCTTCCCATCTCCTCTAAAAGTCACGAAGTTTTCTTCTAAATTTTAGGCCATAAGCGGCATTCCATCCGCAACCCGATTGCATCTCCGGGAAACATGCCTAACCTGAATCGTCCAATCGCGCCGAAGGAGATCTCTAACATGAGGCACCAAAGATGAGATTCCATCAACCATCTTTTTCTCTTGAAGAACAACAACAACATCCATGCAATCCGATTCGACTATTACCTTCCGAAAGCCATGATCCCACACGATGGTTAATCCGGAGAAAATACCAAATAGCTCGGCGTCCACCACCGTGTATCAACCAATCTTCTGCTAGAAACCCAAAATCCATTCAGCATCCGAATTTCGGAGCACACCTCCGCACGTGGCCCACCCCGAATCACTCCACCACCCTCCATCGGTGTTTAGTTTAACCCAATCATTAGGAGGGGCTTCCCACGATATTTCTCCCACAACAGTGCGCTCCTGAACTCTTTGCCGTACCACCCTTTTCTGCAATGCTCGGATCATTTTTTCCTTCATTCTAATACTGCGTGGAGTAATGCCTTCGATAGCTGTGGTTTCCTTATAAAAAATGATTTGATTCCGGGGAGTCCATACAAAATCATCACACCAAAATGAATATCCCAGTCTCATGAATTCTTGCCAATCCATGCAGCAAGTTCCATTCTCATGAATCCATCAAACCGTTCGGGCTTTATCAGCACCTTCCACGACACCTTCCACGAGGGGGCATTCCCTCAGCAGGTGGGATCCGCCTTCTCTGGCTGCACCGCCTAGCAAACAACTAGTGTCCGACGTTAGGTGGCAACGCGCACGTTCCTTGTTTGATAACAAACGTCCCTTACAAATAGTCCACAACAGCATTTTAATCCGAGGGAGCCCCCGATATCCATTAAATTACATTCCATGGAGCCACCGCACTACCGCTGTTTATGTGCATCCTTATCTTATAGGCAGAAGAAACCGAGAAGCATCTCTTGGTGTCAAATTTCCATCTAACTGTATCCGGGCTTGCATGAGGCAAAGGTCTCACCGCTGCTAGTGAGAACCAAACCATCACCCGATCCCATTCCACACCTCTCGTGGTCATTGCAAATACGGAGTACCTCTGGGGGTACAGCATCCGTAGGATTGTAATATTGGACCAGCGGGCCAAGATCATGAAGCCAGGGGTCATGCCAAAAGTCTATCCCAGTCTCATCCCGAAGAACCCAGAAACAACTCTCTTTAAATTCGTTCCAAACTACCGAAAGTCCTCTCCACAATCTGGAGTAACACCGCCTTAATTTTATATTTAGCTCGTAAAATCTGAACCCACAGATGATTTGTATCAGTAGCCAGGCCCCACACTAACTTCATAATGAACGCTTCATTATTCTCTTTAACCTTCTTCATACCAATATCTTCCACATTGGCCGGTTTACAGAGGCCTTCCCAGCTCACAAGGTGCATTTTAGGCTTATCTGATGTTCCTCCCCAAATGAAGTTGGGGATAAGACGTTCAATGGCATCGCAAACACTCTTCGGAATATAAGATGATTGCATTGCGTAAGAGGGAATAACTGCTAAAACAGCTTTGGCTAAAATGATTCTCCCTGCAAATGAGAGATGCCGAGATTTCCATCCTGCAAGCCTCTCTTGAACTTTCTGAATAAGATAGCCATAAGTAGCCGAGGTGACCCTATTATGCAATAGGGGTACTCCTAAGTACCTCCCTAAATCATCAACACGAGTAAACTGAAATCCAAAACTGATCCTACCTCGTTCCTGTTCTGAAACATTTCGGGAGAAACAAATAGTGGTTTTTGATAAACTGACCTTGTGTCCGGAGACAGTTCAAAAATCAGCAAGAATATGCCGAATAACTTCCAATTGAGATTGCGAAGCCTCAGCAAAAAGAATCAAATCTTCTGCGAAAAATAAATTCGACAATGCAGGCCCATTTCTTGACAAACGGATCGGTTTCCACTCTCCATTTTCCACAGCTTTCTTAATAGTTTGGGCAAGCCGCTCCATACACAACACAAAAAAAATACGAGGATAGGGGATCGCCCTGACTAATCCCCCTAGAAGGTTTGAAGCTCTCCGTCTGGCCACCATTCCACAGAATTTGAGTCATTACTGTTAAAATACAACTCATGATTAACTTGTAGAGCCCAATCGGAATAGCCAAATCAACGAGGGTGTCTTCTATAAAGCGTCACTCCAAGCAATCATACGTCTTTTCAAGGTCAATATTGATTACCATCCAACCTTTATTGCCTTATTTCCTTCTCATTGGGTGAATCACCTCTTGAGTAATTATGATATTGCTAGAAATACTCCGGCCTGGCACGAAGCTAGTATGATTATCCATAACCCAACTCGGAAGAAAAGGTTTTAAGTGATTCACAATCACCTTGAAATGCACCGTGCATAAATTGATAGGTCAAAACTGGGTGAAGTTCTCTGGCGTTTGGACCTTCTGGATGAGAACTAGAAGGGTGTGACTGATATCCTTAGGGATCTCACCCTGATCGAAGCAATCACTAATAAAAGTGCACACCCCAGAACCAACAATCTCCCAATTTTGTTAAAAGAACGCAGCATAGTAACCATCAACACCAGGTGCTTTGTCAGCCAGCATCCCAAACAATGCCGTCCTAATCTCCTCATCGAGGAGCCCCTTGGAAAGTGACGCAATCTCATGTTGCGGAAATTTATAGAAACCTCCCCTGATGCAATTCATAACACCTCTTGACTCTTGTGTTGAAAACAAGGTTCGATAAAATTCAACCGTTCCCTCGCGTAATAGCAATTGATCAAAACACCACTCCTCACTTGGATATTTAAGCGAACAACAGTATTCTTTCTGTGGCGACTTTTGGCATAAGCATGACAAAGTTTTGTCTCGCTTGAGATAATTTCTCTTAAAACATAAACTTTTAAGATTGTTTCTCTTGAAATAAAGTTTCATCTCACTTGAAACAGTTTTCTTTGAAGCCAAATTTTAAAATTGTTTCACTTTAAACAAAATTGATCTCACTTTATATAGTTTTCCTAAAAACAAATTTCGTCTTGCTTGAGATAGTTTTCCCTTAAAACGAAAATTTTGAAATTGTTTCACTCAGAAAAAAAAATTATCTCATCTAAAATAGTTTCTCTTGAAACAAATTTATTTCCACTCATTTGTTTCACTTAAATGTCAAATATTTTATAGGAATTCGAAAAGTTAGCAGAGAATTTCATTTCACACATCCATGTTGAAGAAGAAGTTTTCATTTCAAGTCAATCATTGACAACTATGACTAGATCTCCTCAACGAGAATAAGCAATGTCATCATTAGATTTGACACAAAGCAACGATTAGCTCTCCTCAACATGAAGGAGAAATGTCTTTTTCAAAGTCAAACTATCTTCAGACAATTAGACTTTCTCAGCAAGAAAAAACAACATTGTCTCAGATTCACAATCCTTCAAGAACGACTAGTTTTCCTCACTAAAAAAGAACCATGTCGAATCAAACCGTCAAAGTATGACCATATGTCATCAAAGTGAAGGAACAATGTCATTTTTAGTTTTCTCGAGAGAATAAACTATTAAGATATGACCAAGACGTCCTCAACACGAATGAATAATATCATGTTCAACCATTTCATCCTGAGACGATGAATTCAACTTCCAAAAGTGAGTTGGATTTCATGGCAGGACAAAAATAGTGTCTTTATTCTTTGTCTCATTATCGTCATACGACAATGGACAATGAAGACAGCTATAGACATTAAATTTTTTTCCAAACTCGAGGACAAAATCATTACAGCCATCTCCAACACTCTATGCCACCTCTTCCAGCAGCCTCACTTCATCAACAACCACGGCAGCAAACAACGTCAGCAATAGTTTTTATTTATTTTTACAAATGTAAAAGGGTTATTATAAAACCCAAGGAAAGAACGTGTAACAGAGGGGCTCCCCCCGATGATTTACTTCAAAAAATGAATACAACAAAGAGGGTATTTTTTTTAAATCAAAGGAAATACGAAGCAGTGAGCCATTTTTGTCTCATCTTTTACATTTTTTTCTTTCTTTCTTCCTTTTCGTTTTTTTTTTTTCCGAATTGAATGTGTGAGACAGTAGCTTTTACCTTTGTTGTGTGGTCACCGGTCTCAAGGTTGGTCGTTGGTCGAGCTAGAGTCATCGGTTGTGGTCGGGGAGCGCTTATCGCCGACTCATAGCTGTTTTAGGGGGTTTCGGCCGAGGAGTTTAGATAAGAGAGGAGGAAATTTAGCCTTGTGTCCTTAAGGTCGTGGTTCGACCTAGATCAGAGGTTAGTTTGGCCACCAAGGCGTTGGTCGGTGATGGGGGTTTGGAGTTTGGCCTTTTCGGCCGCATTTGGTGAAGAGAAGATAGTAGATAAAGAAGGGGGAGGGGGAGGGCGAGGGGCGTGGGTTTAGTTTTTATATTTAGATTTTTAGTTTTTTTGTATATTTAGATTTTTTAAGTTTTGGGAAAATTACTCTTAGGCTCCTCTAATTTAGGAATGTATTTGTATCTTGGTCACTGGTTTAGGCCATTTTGGTTTTATTTCAAATTTGCACGTCCTGTTGTGCCTTTTTCCCATTCTTATTTTGTTAGGTGATTATTAAGGTTTTAAAAAAATGATAAATCTTGTTTTAGTTCCCCAAGCTTTGCCAAGTTTTTGCATTTTAGTCATCAAGTGCGCTCTTTTCAATTTCATTGATTTCGATACTCTGCTTTCATTTTATTTAAATTTAGTCACTGTTTTATTTTTTCATTTGTTTGAAATTGATCACTGAATTTTATGTTATTACATTTTAGTCACTAATTAGTTCTATTATCTTTATTTATTTTTGAATTTGATGAGATACTTTCAATTTATGCATTTTGGTTACTGTTTAGTTTTGATTTGGCTATTGTTCTTCTATTTTATGTATTTTGGTGACTTTTTGCATTTTGTTGATTTAGCTACTGATTTTATCATTTATTGCATTAGGATCTCATGTTTGTTTTTATATTCGAATTTGATATTGTTTCATTTTATTTTGATTAAATCACTTATTGATTTTTTTTATTATTTTCGAATTGATTGTATTTTATTTCAGTCCCTATAATTTAATTCTTGCATAGGTAGGTTTTGTTTCCTTTCATATTTACCATGCATGGACATTTTATATTTGTTAGTGTTGTTTATATCTATATATATATATATATATATATATCATGTTTTAGATATATATGTATATATTTATCTAATATTCTCAACCTTGTATATATGTGATAGTACTATATTTTATCTTATCTCATTTATTTTATATTAATTTATAAAATTTCCACTAGACAATATATTTTAATATTTTATTTGAATATTTTCAATAACATTTCATCGTAGAATATGCGTGAAAAGCATTGTTGGATCGAAGTGGTTCGATTTGATACAATATTCGAACGAAAAATGAACTTAAAATAAGTCGAGTTTATTTTTATAAAATGATAATTAATTCATTTTTATTTTAATTCAAATGATGCAATGCATGTTTCTAAAAATAGTAAGTTATTTTATGATATTACTAATATTCAATTTACATTCGATTTGCGCTTATTTATAACTTTGAGGAGGGGTACATTTCTTGTATAAAGAAGAAATAGATGAGATAGCATTTTCATTGGATGATGTGTAAATCTTGTGATTTCTTTTTAAATTAAGGAATGTTCCCTAATAATTAATTCAAAAAATGTTAATTAATATTCAATAAAAGGATCACACTTTAAATATTGATTCGGTTTTTTAATTTCCACCACGACAACATACAAACGATTAGGTACCAATTTTTGGGCGTTGTGGGGTGCTAACCCTTCCCCATGCGTAATCGACTCTCGAACCTAAAATGAATCTTTGACAAGTGCAGACCAGTTTTTTGCCTTAAAAATGATTTTTCTTAAAATTGTTTAAAAGACATTTTTAGGTGTTTAACCTACCTAACACAAAGGTTGATGGCTACTCCAAATCAATTTAGTCGAACTAAACACAAAAATTCAATTTTTCCAAATAAGTCGTAAATTCGAGGATTTCATCAAAAACTTATTCGTTCGTCAAAAAATACTTTACGACAATCTCTAAATTTTTTTACGTTTATCTCTTAAAATTTTATAATTCTTCTGCTAATCAACGTAAAATCTTACGTTCATTTCTATTGTTTTAAGGGTAAACTACGCATTTAGTACCTAAATTTCAGTTTTGATCCATTTTAATACCTAAATTTTTAATTTTTTCAAAATCATACATAACGATAGTTTTTATTTTATTTAGTATTCCGTCGTTAAAAACTTGCGTTTAGTACTTAAACTATCAACTTTGGTATGTTTTAGTATCTGAACTTTCAAATTTTTTCAAAACTTACCGTTAAGTTTTTAAAGGGGTACTATGAAACAAAACTAAACATTATGTATAGTTTTAAAAAAATTGAAAGTTTAGGTACTAAAATGGACAAAAACTGATGGTTTAGGTACTAAATGCATAGTTTACCCTTGTTATAATTATATGATAGGTTTCTCATAATCAAAATGTGAAATAAGAATGGAGGATTTGCAGCTTCAATATTATTTGTCACAGATTTTATTACACAAAATACAGGAGACGTCCAATTTAATTCAAAACGGAAACCATAATCCTCCAATCAAGAGATCAAGATGGTAAACTGCTTCAATGCAAAATCACAACAAAGAAGCCAAAAAAAAAGAAGAAGAAGAAAAATCATAGCTTTCTCCTTAAAAATTACCTCTACCTGGATGCAAGACCAGCTTTGAGAGCTTGAATGGTAGAAACATCAGTCTTGAATGATTTAGCCAATATGTCATCATCGATGTCGGTGGCGAAAAGCGTTTTCGGAATCGACACAGTTCCTGCATTTGCACTTCCGAACGCAGAAATCGCAATAGCCGGATGGTTAGTATCGGCATTGTACTGATAGTGTACCAATCCTTTCGGGAAGATAAACATGTCGCCCGATTGTAAACTCTGAGTGAAAAGCTTGTTCGTCGTGTCGACGAAACCGACTTCGAGGTTCCCATCGGCGAGGAAAAGCAGCTCGGCGGAACGAGGATGAGTGTGGGGCGGATTAACGGAGCTTGCAGGGAATTGAAGAAGAGCATAGGAGACACTCTGGCCATTTAGAGCAGGGAACTCCTCCATGGTAGCTTTCAGCACTGTGAAATTCGCAGGGAAGCTGGTTTCGTTTACAATGACTCGCATCCCTGTGTAGGTGAAGAAGTTTCCATCAACTGTGTTCTGGTTTTCAGGTACTATAAAATCAGTGAGAATATCAGGATCACCGGCTAGGGCGATTTGGAGTATGGGAAGTGAAGAAAACAGAAGGGAAATGAAAACGTTCAAAGCCATGCTTGAAAACTGGGGAATTGTTTGATGTGGAGGATGGGATGATTCGAGTTTGAAAGATGGTGCTGAATATATAGGGTTTGACGAAGGTTTTTGCTTTGTTTGCAAGTCGACTTTGGGGTTGCAGCAGGTGAAGATTACCAAGTATCTTGTGCTTGATTGCGGGTTGTATGAGGTTGGAATTTAGGGGGTTAATATATCCATAGCAGTACTCGAGGAAAAAGATGATTTATTGGCGACATTTCCAACAGTTTAGTTGTCGCATTTTGCTTGTTTTTTTGGATCAAGCTAACAGTCGAAGGTTTACCATTTACACCGGATTTCATTCCCATCCACGGCGATTAAGAAATTTACAGTAAGAACTGTTAAACACAATTCCATGGTTAAAAAAATATTATTCTTTTCAAAAGTATCGGATTCAAACAATTATTTTACGATTACTCCAAACTATTAAAAAATATATATGATAAGGACACATATGAGTTGTTTTATTTATCATTGGATAAGTTTATTATAAGGACACATGTGAAACATCGATTTCAACTTTAAACAATCATTAACCAATGAATTGAACTCAGAAATTAAATCATAATCATTGTTTGGTATATTAATTATTTCAAGACAATCGGAATCAATATTGATCCAATTATATATCCAACACTTTAGTCATGATAAGGCTTCTCTTATAGACATGGTTTTCCTGGTACAAGGTTCATATAAACTTGGATAAAGTTAATCTTTTAACGCCTCAATTGCAACAGTCATAATTTGCGAAGCAGATAGCATAACATTAGTGACGACGTTGAATATAAGCCTTTTTTTTAACAGGTTCGATAATTATAAGGGACAATATCTATTTAGAAATGTCTTAATCTATTGACGATGAACATAAATTCTACATACACACAACTCAAACCACGGGTGGAGCTAAAAAAACTTTATTTTGAGATGTCAAATTTAAAAGGTATGTGAAGATTTTCTTTTTAAGCGGGAAAATTGAGTTTTAATTTTCTTTTTTGTTGAATATTTTTTAAAGATGGGATCAATTTCTTTTTTTAAGGGTGTCAATCTTTTTAAAAGTAGTTTCATTTTTCTTCTATTATATATATATAATTTATGTGAAAAAAAAGAAATTTTAAAAACTTTTGGGGTGTCAACTCAGTAAGCTTCAACTCAAAACCTTTAAGGAAAATAACACTCTTTTATACCACTAAAATCACTTGATGATTGCTCAATTATCGCTTGTGTTGGTTGGCTTTCAAGGTACGGTCCTATCTAGTTAAACTGCTACTCCTTTACTCTGGTTGGAAGCTGTGATATCTGCACTTGATATGGAAGGTTTTACAGGGTTCATAATTCTCCTTTGGAATATCTGAAATGGCCATAATACAAAGATCCATGGCGACAAAACTCAACCTCCATGGGTCCTAGTTCTTAATGCTCGGACGTTGCACAGGGAGTTCTTAGCGGCCAAGAAGCAAGCAATAGGTGAATGTTTTGCGTGTCTCCCAGCCCAGTGCACTTGATGCAAGGATTCAGTGATCGATGGCTTCCCCCCTCTCCAGGTTATGTCAAAATTAACGTTGATGGGGCATTCGACCCTTAGCGAAGGTTGGCAACCATTGGTGTTATAGCCCGGGATTCCGCTAAGTTACCGTTGTGAAGTATGACTTTATCACCATCCATTTGTACTTAAGCAAGTTTTGCAGAGATCCATGTTAGGACTATGGTTTACAGTTTGCTCAAGAGAACAATTGGCACCAAATTATATTTGAGACCGATTTCGCAATGGGGGCTAATAAGCTGTCTTATGATGTGGCATATTTTTTTCACCCTAGGATTTCTTTTGGGTGAAGCTTGATCCATTTTGCAGAACAATGCATCTTTTTTCAGTTATTTTTATTTTGCCTATTTGTAACCAGGTGGCCCATGAGTTAACCTCATGGGCACTGTGTTGTTCTTTGACTCGGTTTGTCCCTGAAATTATTGTCTCTACTGCAACATGCGACATTGATCCTGGTTAATACATTTCGTGGGTACTTTTTTTCCGTTGTATGCTTTAAAAGGGGTTTTTATTGAGTTCGCTTTTCAAAAAAATCACTTAGATGAGTTTGACAATAAATAAAATTAGTAATGAAATGAAATCACATTTATTTATTTATTTATTAAAAAAGTCACATTTATGAAATTGAGAATAAAAATTATATAAATCATATTGAAAAAATAAGATATAATTTATGTATCAAATAACTATTTCTCTTATTTAAATGAATAGGTAAACTACAATGATCACTAATGTTTCAGTAAAAAATTATAGTTTCACTTGAGTGTTTTTTTATTAAGCTAAGGTAAGTTATGCAAATGATTAATATACTTTCATTGTAACATCCCAAACTACGGGTTAGTGACTAAATTGTAAAAATTTAGAATTTGGTAATTAAAGTGGAATAGTTGAATAGTTCAATGACTTATTTGAAAATAGTTTATGAATTATTGTTAGTAATTATTAAATGAAGTAAAGGGCAAATTGGCCATTTGTTATGAAAGATATTTTTTCCTTTAATAGAAGAGAAACACATAGGGGGAGTTATCTGGAAAACTCTCTTCTTCTTCTTGCTTTCTTCTTCTCCACCGTGAACCCAAGGGAGCAAAGGTGAGTTTTCTGATTACTTGATTGTTTGTTGATTTTAAGTTTGGGTTTTGATCCTTAGGTAATACTTAAGCTTAAGGAAAGCTTAAGTTGTCTTAAAATCAAAAGATTAAGAAGTTATAAAAGATTAAAGCAAATGGGTTTTTAAGTGATTTTTTGGAAAAGAGTTAATAAGTTGAATTTGAAACTAAATTTGACTTGTCATCAACTTAATTAAGAGATATGAAGTGATAGAATTGGATTTAGAGAATCTTGAAAATTTGGTATGATTATGGATTTCCATATGAAAGATGGAATTTTGAGGTTATGGATGTATTGAATGAGTAGAAATTAGTTTAAGTATATATACTTGAGTTAAGAATAGAAAGGGAAATGAAACATGAAGAATTTAAGCTGAAAATGAAGAATTTTCGGGTGAAAAAGCCTATTTTGGGCAAAGTATATTGGTACCCTATGTATGTGTACTGATACCCTCTTGAACGAAAAATCCCAAAATGTAATAAAGGTATCGATACCTTAAAGAGTGTATCGATACCACCTAAAGGAAAAAGTGAATATGGGTCTATTAAATTTGTTTAAGTTATTAGCATAAAATTTACAAGGTGTAGATATCTAATAATTACTTTAAATTGTATAGTTATTTAGACATTGAGTGTGAGCAAGTTCCGGAACAACTGTCAAGTTAGGATTGATCCAAAGAGATTATAATCATAAAGGTGGATTGGGAATTAAGTGAGGTCAAGTTGAGTGCAATTTAATTTGTACTTATGATATTAATCAAGCATTGGCTTGCGATAAGCCAATGATAGAGTTACTATGATAAGAAGTAACTTCTAAAATGTTATGTGATTCTTATGTGTGCATGAGTAATTGAATATGAGTATATGTGTTATTTGTTATTGTATATGTTACATGATTTATGTGAATACATGTTTGAGTGATAACTCATGTGAACTGGTATAAATGACATATGTGATTACATGAGAATATTATATAAGATTTATGTGAAGATATGAGAACAAGATATCAGCTATGTGATATGATCTATGTGACCATATGAGAATGTAACATGATCTACATGAATATACAATATGCGATACATGTTATATGATATGAGATTGATGGTTACACATACATGTGGTATGTGACAGAAAAGAAGAAATATGTGATCATAAGTGCAATGATATGAATCATAATGATAGTGCCCATGTTATGTTATATGAGAGCTAGGGGTATAGTTGGCATGCCAAGAGTCGAGGGTTACCTATGTCTTTCGAGACATATGGACTATTTACCTATGTTCTTCGGGGCATATGGACTGTTTACCTATGTTCTTTGGGACATATGGATTGTTTACCTATGTTCTTCGGAATATATGGACTGGTCTATCGGGACATTTATACGAGATGTGGTGATAGCATAGTGCACAACCTCTATGTACTCACATACCTTAAGTTCTCAACAGTATACATGGGCTTTAAAGATAATAAAGAACTTGATATGATATTATATGTGTTCCTTCGTGAAATGGTATCTGTGATATATATCGTGCATAAATGATAAGCATGTTAATAATGTGATTAAGTATGTATATACGTATGATGTTATGTTACATGATATGTGCATGTGTGTATATGTTACAGGGAAGAATATATGCTTTGGTATGATATGGTAGTATTAAGTGTTCATGCATTGTAGAAATTACAGCTATATCATAATTTTATTTATGTCTCACTAAGTCAATGATTTAGCATGTGATTGTTTCACACGTAGGTTTCGAGAAGAGGAAGATTGATAAAAGTTATGCAAGACATGTTAGTTTCTCATTTCCAAATATCATATCAGAAAAGAAATGAATAGTCTGTATTTTGTAATACTAATTGTGGTTGGCATGTAAATAAATGTTTGAATCCGATATGTTCTAATCGTTTTGTAAAATCATATGATTGAGTTTTGTAATGTTTTAAACGTATATATGTAAATAATAACTTTATAGTGATAAAAGGTTAAATTTTTATGAGTTTTATATATATTGGCTAGAATTACTATAGCAATGTATCGGTACACTGTAGCAGGGTATTGATACCCATGTAGCATTCTGGAAATTTTTATGCATCGGTATTGTTCATTACTGTTCGCACAGTATCGGTACTATTTGCACATTATTGATACTATTCATACAGTACAATATAATTCATAAAAAAATATTTTTGCCTTAAATTTGTTACAACGAAACATAATTTAACAGTATATTATTGTATTTTCTTAATATAAGTCCAAATGTTATGTTATTTTGTAAGAATATTATTTTAAAAAGTCAATGTGACATCTCGGACTCGTATCCGGGTCGGGTACGGGTTGGGGGTGCTATATTTATAATATTTCAACACTAGTCCGATGTCATAATGTAAACGGAGAGTCGTTTCACAAAATATAACTTAAACGATTCTAGGACTATATTTTATCATATCTCAATCAACAGGTTTACATCTAGCTCATACAACCTCTAATTTTTTAATAAAAAATATGAGTTTTGAACATATGAATAATAAAGTGATCATTAAGGATGACAACGAGTCGGATTTGGATCGGATCCAGTTACACCCAGATCCAAACCCATTTTCACATATTGAATCCATACCCGCTCCGAATCTATAGGTTTAGAAAATCAAGATCCATATCCATATCCAACGGATCTCATGGATCCAGTTCCAAAATGAGTCTGTTGAAAAACTACCATATCAGAACCACTCGCATTCGACTTGACAACCTCCCTCCACATTTTCGGTTACTTTTTATTTAATAACTTCCTCGTAAGTTGGTGTCTACCTTCTATGCCTTCGCTTTCCCTGTCGCTTGAGCTTTCAAACCGCGATCCACTTTCCTTGGGTGATCTAAGCATGAATCGAGAAGCTCTGAGGAAGACTGAACCCATTGATTCGTTTCCGATGACTCTGGTATAGCTCTTGAACAGTTCACGGGGATTCCCCCATCAATATAGTCTCACAGGGGTTTTACTCATAGAATTAGGCCTCGTTGAATTAAGTACTCGTTTCGTTGATGAATGACGTACCTTTCCCTACGATGAATGAAGTCCCTTTCCTCTAGCTGGAACAATTTCATCTATAAAGTACCCTCGGTTGAGGGCACTGCACTCCCAGCAGCGTAGGATCCTGCGGTAAATTTCCCTGGTGCACGTGTTACTTCTCTTCTACGCCATCAAAATGGTCTTATCTCCTTTTGTAGATGCTAAGTCGGCATATTCAAGATCATACTTCTGTATGAAAAGTATTACTGATCCTGTAAAGGTTGGTAGCTTTAGGTATCTTTTGAAGCCATAGGATAGAAATAGGAGAAATAGGTACTTAAGAACCATACCGTACGTCATAACATTTAGGGAATTGAATTGATATTTAATCGGAGAAAGAGAAAAATTGGATAACCGATCACAAAGCTGTGCTTTCTGTTATGCTTTCATTTGCCTTGTACTATATGGGTCACCATGAGACCGGGAGTGTATATTACATTCAAGAAGCATGGTATTTTATGGAAGTAGAACTACGGAATCCATGTTGATGTAAAGCAATAATTTTGAGATAGGTCTTATCCTGTAGAAAAAACAATGTAAGCATTACGATGCTTGAACTTATTAGAAGAAATTAATGAAGTGGTTTTAAGACACGGAATAGTTGCAGCAATTTGGCATACATTCTGAATGGAAATTTATCATATGACTAGATACAACTGTTAGGATGCTTCTGTTCTTGAGTGGCACTACGTCCATTCATCGTCATAGGGCTGAAAAGAAGAAGTTCTCTTTTGTTCCCCTCTATCCAACCATTAACTGTTAATCTTTTATCTCTGTGTAGTTCTCGAATTGACGTGTTTGTGTTCCGTATTTGCAGAAACCTAATCGGCATGACAGAATTACAGAAGGCTTGATCACCGATGAAATGTTAATCATAGCAAAAGAAAGCAACAATCTCCAATTTGCTTGGGAATTAAGTGCTCAGATCCGTAATTCACAGGCCCTTCTTTCAAGTGCTGCAACTAGGCGAACACCATTGACTGTTGGAGAATCGGAGATTGCAATTCGTAACATGGCGCTTCTGCTCTTCCAAGCCCAACAACTCCACTATGACAATGCATCAATGCTCATGAGATTGAGAGCCAAAATCCAAACTCTTGAAGAACAGGTGAGTTCAGCAAGCGATAAAAGTTCGAAGTATGGACAAATAGCCGCTGAAGAAGTACCCAAAAGTCTGTACTGTCTCGGTGTTAGGTTGACTAAGGAATGGTTTGGAAACCCAAAATTACAAAGGAAACTCAGGGAAAAAAGGCAATTGGATGCGAAATTTAAAGACAACGATTTGTATCATTTCTGTATCTTCTCTGATAACATTCTTGCAAGTTCCGTGGTGGTTAACTCGACAGCTTTAAATTCCAAAACCCGGAGAAGATTGTCTTTCATCTTGTAACTGATGAAATAAACTATGCCGGGATGAAGGCCTGGTTCACCTTGAACACTTTTCGGAGAGTGACTGTTGAGGGTCAGAAGCTAGAGGACTTCAAGTGGTTGAATGCTTCTCATGTTCCGGTTCTAAAGCAACTGCAAGATTCAGAGACTCGGTTATTATTTTTCTGGCCATAATGACGATGGCCGGACTCCGATCAAGTTCAGAAATCCCAAGTACCTGTCTATGCTTAATCATTTGAGGTTTTATATTCCTGAAGTTTATCCGGCACTAAAGAAGGTGGTATTTCTTGATGATGACATTGTGGTTCAGAAGGATCTGTCTGGTCTGTTTTCCATTGATTTGAATGGCAATGATAATGGAGCAGTTGAGACATGCATGGAGACATTTCATAGATATCACAAGTACTTGAATTACTCTCACCCTCTTATAAGGGCACATTTCGACCCCGATGCATGTGGTTGGCAATTTGGGATGGACAATTTCGATTTGGTTGAGTGGAGGAAGAGGAATGTGAATGGCATCTATCACTATTGGAAAGAATGGAATGTGGACCGGACGTTGTGGAAACTCGGGACACTGCCACCAGGACTGCCGACATTCTATGGACTGACAGAAGCATTGGACTTGTCGTGGCATGGACTGGGGCTAGGCTATACAAACGTCAATCCCCTGTTGATAGAGAAAGGGGTCGTTTTACACTTCAACGGAAATTCAAAGCCGTGGTTGAAAATCGGGATAGAGAAATACAAGCCCCTTTGGGAGAAGTGTTGCAGAAGACGACTATCGGATAGAGCAAAATCGCAACTGATAATTTGAGAAAATAAAAAATTAAGATAAAGAATACACAAAATTTACGTGGAAAACCCCTAAATAATATAGGGTAAAAACCACGGGCAACGGTAGAAGAATTTCACTATGAGAAAATAGGAATTACAACCTCTCTCGATCTATCAAAGAGAAAACAATGATAATTCTCTCTTGATAAAAATGAGAAAACAACTATCAAGAAACTCTCTAAATTCTCTCTAGTATTGGAAGAAAGCTATAATGTTTTGGGATGGTTTTGAAGTTAAATGAGCTAGGGTATTTATAGTTGAAACCTAAGGACTAATCTTGTAAATACCCTAAAGTACAATGACTAATTTCATAGTTTTACCATCCAAAAATTCAACAAAAGTTGGCTACCTAAATATGACCATTTAGCCGCCCATGACCATTTAACCGCCCATGTTTTGTTTACTTTCAACAATCTCCCACTTGAAGATTTGATTGGAACAATCATATCTTCACACTATTCTTTCTACCTTGTACCATCATGTTGCTTATGTTTCCGTCAGGCCACAAGAGGATCGACACCAGGTAAATTTATCAGCGTTGATCGCCTTCGTCATGAAATCTGCTATGTTATTTTTGGTATGAATCTTCTGCATATCTACTGTCCCTTCTTCAACCTTTTCACGAATGAAATGGTACTGAACTCGTATGTGCTTTATCCTTGAATGAAATGCTGGATTCCTTGCTAGATGCAAGGCGCTTTGACTGTCACAAAACAGAGAGACATACTCTTGATTGTGCCCAAGCTCCTCCAATAGCATCTTCAACCAAATTGCTTCTTTACTAGCTTGTGTAGTTGCTACATATTCTGTCTCTGTTGTGGACGTAGCCACAACTGACTGCAATTTTGAAACCCAGCTTACAGCACCACCAGCAAATTTGAACACATATCCTGTAGTAGATTTTCTTTTATCTAAATCCCCTGCATAGTCATAATCTACATACCCATTGATTAGTAAGTTTGATCCTCCGTAACATAATGCAACATTTGAGGTTCCTTTGATGTATCTCAAGATCCACTTTACTGTATTCCAATGCTCTTTTCCTGGATTCGCCATGTACTGACTAACCACTCCCACTGCTTGTGCAATGTCTGGTCTTGTGCATATCATAGCGAACATTAAACTTCCCACTGCTGATGCATACGGTACTCGAGACATCTCCATCCTCTCTTTTTCACTGCTAGGACTCATACTCGAGGATAATTTGAAGTTAATAAGAAGAGGAGTAGAAATTGGCTTACAATCTTGCATGCTGAATCGTGAGAAGATCTTCTTCAAATAATTCTTTTGTGAAAGCCAAATCTTCCTATTACTTCTGTCTCGGTGAATTTGCATCCCTAGAATCTTGTTTGCTGATCCCAAGTCCTTCATTTCAAATTTCCTAGCCAGTTGTGCCTTCAATTCTTCAATATGATCTTTGTTGGGTCCTGCAACCAACATGTCATCCACATACAACAGCAAAATAACAAAATCGTTATCACCAGACCTCTTGAAATAAGCACAAGGGTCTGCATTAAGTCTGTTGTATCCAATGCACATAATGAAAGAATCAAATCTCTTATACCAACACCTCGGCGCCTGCTTTAGACCATACAGAGATTTGTTCAACCTGCAAACCAAGTTCTTCTTTTCTTTTTCTTCAAAACCTTCAGGCTGGAGCATATAAATTTCTTCTTCAAGATTTCCATGAAGAAAAGCTGTTTTAACATCTAGCTGCTCTAGATGTAAGTCCAATGTAGCACACATTGCCAACACTACTCGAACTGTTGTTAGTCGAACCACATGAGAAAATATTTCATTGAAATCAATATCTTCTTTTTGAGCATATCCTTTGACCACCAGTCTTGCACGATACCTCTCAACTTGATTGTCATCATTTCTCTTGATTTTGAAGACCCATTTGTTACCAATTGGCTTCCTTCCTTGTGGTAGTGACACAAGGTCCCATGTATTATTTTTTATGAAGGGCTTCGATTTCTTCTTGCATCGCCATCATCCACAGTGAAGCATCTGAGCTGTTTATTACCTCCTGGTATGTTGATGGCTCACCGTCCTCTGTTAAAAGGCAATATGCAATATTACCTTCTATAACATAATCTGAGTGTCAATTGAGACGTCTTCTCACACGATCTGATTGACGAGTTGTTGGAGCTTCAGAACTCTCTGGTTCTTGTTCATCATGTGCTGGTTCTGCTTCAGAAGAATCTCCTTCTTCAAATTCTTTTTCCACATGTATCTGAGTAGTCTCTGACTTTTCAGCGCTATCATCGTCTTCTTTTCTTTGTAGTTTATCTTCTACAAAGATAACATCTCTACTAATGATCACTTTGCGGGCAGTGGGATCCCACAAGCGATACCCCTTTACTCCATCAGCATACCCCAATAATTTGCATTTCCTGGATTTTGGATCCAACTTTGAAATTTATTGGGAGTTGTACATCACGTACACTATACTTCCAAATATATGGAGGTTTGAATAATCAGCTGGTTTTCCATTCCACATCTCCATTGGTGTCTTCATCTCTATTGCAGTTGATAGAGCTCGATTCACCAAATAACAGGCAGTATTGACTGCTTCTGCCCAGAATGATTTTTCTAGGCATGCATCCCTCAACATTGCT